ATGCTTGATTGTTATTCAATTTAAGTATATATTATAGTCTTGTTTTCTTTTTTTCATTTATAAAAAATATTTTTTATAGCTGTTTTACTATCTGTACATATATTTATTTTTATCTTGGCTAATGCATATTTAATTAGACTCAGTATTGCTATAAGTTCTGCTTTTGTAAATAATAAAATTTTTTTATATTAGTTACAAACTCTATTTTCTCTTTAGTTTCTCTGTTTATTGTTATTTATCTAATTCTTATTTTATATTAGTAAAAGCTTATTTAGAAATTAAAAAAATAAAATAATAGAAAAGCTAGTTAAGAAAAGGGTACAAGAAAATAATAAACAAGTAGCAATAAATTAAAATTAAAATAAAATTAATTAACAAGTAGCAATAAATCAAAAAATAAAATTTATTAAATATAAAATTCATATACAAACTAGATTGTATTTTATTTTAATCAATTTCTAATAACTATTAATAATATTAATATATTTGAATATTCAGATTAAACTATATTATATTTAAATTAATTCTAATTAATAATTTTTTAATAGTGGTTAAAGTTTTAATCTATAATATTCCAATTCAAAGCTTAAATAATTATATTAGTCATAAACAAAAATAAGTCTTTAAAATTTTTAATATATAAAATTTTATGAATTAATTATATTTCTTTTGAAGAGAATATAGCTATTTATTTATTATTTTAATAAAGACAAAATTTTAAAAAATTTTAAATTAAGTAATTTAAATTGCAAAAAAAATTTATAAATAGTTTTTTTTTTAATAATAAGGAACATTTAAGTTACTGTATATTCTTACTCTGAGTAAAGGAATCTATCTTTAGTCACAAATAAAAAAAACTGTGACTTATATGAATTCAGAATTAATACAGATTTATAGTTTAAGATTCAAATGACATAATAAAAATAGTATTTAGATTAATCCTATAATCAAATTTTATTTTAATATAAATTGAATTATATATTATATAGTTTGTTTTTAGTATTATAACAAAAAACATATAAAGTGTAAAATTTAAAGATAATAAAATAATAAGTCAATAGATAGATATTAAACTATAATTTAGTATTGTAAAAGATATTAAATATATATTGTATATTGTATATTAACTTATTATATATTTTGTATTTAAGATACAGTATATTGTTTTTTTTATAAATATTATTAAATTATTTAAAATTAAATAGATTAATAGATAATAGTAGCAAAGAACTATTTAATTTAAAAGAAAATAGTCTTATTTATGATATACTAGTATTGATAAAGTGAAGAAATTGAATAAAATTTATTTACAAGGCAAAAAATATGATAATTTAATTTATGGTTCAAGTTAGTTTTTATTAAAGAGAATTAAAGAGAGCTAGAAATTCTTTGGATAGCTGAAAAAAACAACTGTCTTATTTATATATATTTGAAATAGAAGAAAAATTAAAGTAAACAATAGATAGAATATTTAAGTTCTATAAAATATATTTTATATATTTAATTAAATTACTTTAATTATTTTGGACAATTAAACAGATTAGACATATTTAAGATGATTTAATTTGATTTGATTTTTAATTCTCAGATTTATATTAAATTTAATATATGATTATAATCTATTATTATTTTTAATAATATTCTGAATCTTATGTAAGTTATACAAGTCTGCATAATTTTAATTTTTGGAACCATAGATATATCAGTTATACCTAACAGAAATGTCATATCAGTTATACTTGGCAAACATTTTATATTTATGTGATATATTATATATGTTATATATTTTAAAAAATAACAATAAAAATACTAAAGTAAAATAATAATACTAAAGTAAAATAATAATATAAATAATAATATAAAAATAGTATTATTAACACTTATAACAATATATATCTTGTTATATATAAATAAATAAAAGAAATATTTTTAAAAATATTAAATAAATTATAATATTTTAATATAAAATTTAAAAAAAATTAAATATTGCTTTTATTTATTATGTGGTTTTTTATATTTTTACAAATAAATACAAGAAAATTTAATATATATATATATAGTAAAAAACATTTTTTTAATCTTTTTTAAAGGTTTAAAATTTCAAAAATAATTGTTTTATTTTTGAAACTTTTTTTTATTTTTTTTAATTTCTATTTTATTTTTATTTTGATTTGATTTTAAAATTTTTTATAACATTAGACTTTAAATGATAATTTGTTAAAAATTTGAAATAATTAATTGATATAACAAAAAATTATAAACAAGACATACTATATAATTTTCATATATTTTATTTTATATAATATCAAATTCAATAAGATATAATAAGATACAGTATAACAAAAAGTATATTTAATTTGTTTAAAATAGTTACAGGAAATAAATATATATATATATTTTGTATTTATTTATTTATTAAAAAAAATATATTATAATTTGATAAAAAAATTTTTTTATTATTGATTATTTTAAAAAGACATTCAAGCAATAAGATTATATAGTAATAAAAGTTGCAGAAGCATAAGATTATTATCTAAAACCATTTAAAAGTCATAATTAATTTTTAATAATAATAAAAATTAAATGATTTGCTTAATTGTAAGTACAGTAGTAATAAAGATTTATTATAATAAATTAAAGAGTGCATCAAAAAATATTTATTTGTTAAAACAAAAATTTAAAAAAAATGTTAAACAAGGTATTTTTCATGATTTCATTAATCGAATGAGATGTGACATAATCAATGCTTAGACAAAATCTTTAATCTAACTAAAATAATTAAAAGGTTTTAAATTTAATACAAATAAATTTATTTTGATCTACCTAACTCTTTCACAAGTAAAAACAAGAATATTGTAACAAAACAAAATACAATAGTGACAAATATTTTTGAATGAGATTTATGACTTTTATGAGAACCAGTATTAAGTTTATGAATCTAGATTTAATCAGAAGGAATTTTTAAAAATAATTTGCTAAATCGGTTCCTTTATTGTGGTCAGGATGTAACAGCTGATCATTTCTCAACGATTAACTGTGAAAAGTGAAACTTGTATAACAAGTTCCACGATCCAAATCAAGCGATTTTTACAGATTCTCATAGCTCTACACCATCAAATCCATCCAATACAATGCGGCATACTTTGTGTTGTTAAGTTCTTCTTATTGTATTACAAATTGCTGTCAAGACAATTCCAGTTTCATGAAAGCGCCAACATGGGATTTGCCAAACGCTAAATCTTTGAATTACAAAGATGACCAAAAAAAAATTCGAGTGTTTTTTGAGGATGAAATAAAAACAATGAGCTCATCAGGGTCTAATGTGCCGAGTACGTAATTTGGAATGACGTGGAGGTCTTCGTCGACATTGCATCACATAAAAATTCATATGATATCATTTTATGATTAATAACATCTTTAGAATGAATCGAATGAATCCCAAACTAGGTAATCAACGCGATTGCAGGTCTCATTCCACGATCAAAGGGGAATACAGATCATTTTTAAACTTTGCAACGATCAACATGTTGAACAA